CTTGCATAATAGCATCCGTGCCAGTCCCTGTTATGATCTAAAGGAGAGAACCCAGCATAGAATCTGCTCACCCTGGCGATAGTCTCTCAGTGTGAGGTAGGGAGGAGGAGAGAGAGGAGTGTGGGAGAGAATAGGAGGGTGGGAGAGAATAGGAGGGTGGTGTTGGAGGATGGGGAGTGGGGTGGGGGAGTAGAGGGGAGGTTAATGAATAAATAAAAACGGTGAATACAACTCAAAAGGGATTTACTGAAAGGGAAGATTAAATAAAACCAAAGGTATTAAATAAAGGCCTCCTTGTGGTGGTGGTGAAAGGTTCTAATAAGGCGATTGGATTAACACTCATACAGACACACATACACACACAGATACACACGCACAGACACACAGCTAGAGATAAGCGGTGCAGGGAGGTGAATAAAGTCATTGAGTTGACACAAAGTTACAAACGGACGAACGTGATTGAATGAAAAGTGAGGAAGGACAGAGGGAGAGAGAGAGAATCAATTCATCTACTTGTCAAATTTCTATTAGATTTGATACAGGACTCCTATCGACACACCTTCTTCCTTCCTTCCTTCCTTCTTTCCTTCACTACCATCGGCACCACTTCTTTCTTCCTTCACCGCCACCACAAACCTTCTTCTTTCCTCCTTGACTCTGACATAATGCCCGACATTTATTTCCCTGACACTAAACAGTTTTTCCCCACCATCCAGGAAACATTTTATTTAGACTTTTCCCCCACCACCACCATCTTGTCTGGCCAGTAAATGTTTTTTCTCTTCGCAATTTTTCTATTTTTGTTTATTCCTTATTTATTATTTTATTTTCATTTCTTGTTTCTCATTTTCTTGGGCTTGAGTATTTTTTTAATATTGTGAAGATGACGAAAAGAATTACTAGGAAAACGAAGAAAAGAATGATAATAAAGACAAAATGAAACAAAGAAACAAAACAGAACAATAATAAAACAAGGAAAAACAGGAAAATAAAGATAATGAATGAGATTTATGAAAAAAAAGTGAAAATTTGAATGACCATACGGAGGCGACAGAAAATTGAAATATTGAATAAGAAAATCCAGGAAAATGAAGAAAACAAGATTAAGAAATTGAAGATGTGAATCATGGTTTGTAGAGGCCATTTTGTAGAGAGAGAGAGAGAGAGAGGGCCATAAAGATGAGGCTCTAAATCTTGACTAAGACAGACTGAGGCCCTCCAGGTGACGGCCCCAAGAGCGACACCGCGGCACTAAATCTACACCGAGACGCAAGTACAAGTTATGGACGGTCTTTGGTCCTACTAGGTCCTACAAGGTCTAAGGTTCTACTAGGTCCTACAAGGTCCTACGAGGTCTTAAAAGGTCCTACAAGGTTCTGAGGTCTTCTAAGGTCCTAAAGGTCTTACTAGGTCCCTACGAGGTCCTAAAAGGTCTTACAAGGTCCTAAAAGGTCTTACTAGACTCTACAAGGTCCTACGAAGTCTTACAAGGTCTAAAAGGTCTTACAAGGTCCTACTAGGTCTTACAAGGTCCTACGAAAGGTCTTAAGGTCCTAGGTTCTACAAGGTCTTCAAGGTCCTACAAGGTCCTCTAGGTCTTCAAGGTCCTACAAGATGCTTACAAGGCCCTACAAGGTCTTCAGGTCTTACTGCATTTATAGTACTTTTTTGTTTGTGTTTTATTATTATTTAAATATTTTTTGGGGATGTTTTTGTTTGTATTTGTCTGTGTTATGGTGTTTATTGCCTGTTGTTATTGTTGTTGTTAGTTGTTATTATTGTTGTTTTTTATTTGTTATTGTTGCTGTTATTGTTGTTATTGTTGCTGTTTTATTATTATTTGCTGTTTTATTATTATTTTTTTTTGTTATTATTGTTTGCTGTTTTTTATTGTTATTGTTGTTGTTTTATTGTGTTTTATTGTTGTTATTGTTTTTTGTTGTTATTGCTGCTGCTGTTGTTATTGTTGCTGTTTTATTGTTATTGTTGCTGTTTTATTGTTATTGTTGTTTTGTTATTGTTATTGTTTTTATTGTTGTTATTGTTTTTGGTTGTTATTTATTTGCTGCTGTTGTTGTTATTGTTGTTGTTATTGTTGTTATTGTTGCTGTTGTTGTTGTTATTGTTGTTTGTTATTGTTGTTATTGTTGCTGCTGTTGTTTTATTTATTATTGTTGTTTTGTTATTATTGTTGTTGTCGAGGTAGTAGGTGTACTGTCTCTCATTCCTATAAGCATTCATTATTTTTTCTTCAATATCATGGCTTATAAACAGCCAGATTCGTTATTTATTTTTTAATCACAAGTTTATCGAGCTATATTTATTGGTTGGGTTTATTGGTTTATGTAATTTATTGCTGTCGTTTTCTGGTTGATCTTACAATCGTCTCCAAATTGGCCGGTCACTTGTACAGAGCCGGTCACTTTAACCTAATGCGGTCACTTGTGCAGAGGCCGGTAACAGCCAATGGCTAGTCCTTGTACAAGGCCAGTCCTTAACAGAGGCCAGTCACTTGTACAGAGGCCGGTTTTATACAATGGCCGGTCACTTGTACAATGGAGTCACTTGTCAGAGGCCGGTCACTTGTACAGAGCCGGTAATTTGTACAATGGCCGGTAACATGCAGAGGCCGGTCACTTATACAAGGCCGGTCACTTGTACAATGGCCGGTCACTTTCTGAGCCGTCATTATACAATGGCCGGTCACTTGTCAGAAGCCGGTCACTTGAATGGCCGGTCACTTTGCAAGGCCAGTCCTTATTAAGAGGCCAGTAACTTGTACAGAGGCCGGTCACTTGTACAATGGCCGGTCACTTGTACAGAGCCGGTCACTGCACAGAGGCCGTCCTTGGTGACCGGTCACTTTGGCCAGTCGCCTCTAAAGGCCGGTCACTTGTACAATGGCCGGTCACTTGTACAATGGCCGGTCACTTGTACAGAGCCAGTCACTTGTACAATGGCCAGTCCTTCCCACTTGTACAGCCGGTCCTTGTACAAGGCCAGTCACTTCTGTGGCCAGTCCTTATCTGTGGCCAGTCCTTATACAATGGCCGGTCACTTGTACAATGGCCAGTCACTTGCACTGAAGGCCGGTCACTTGTACAATGGCCGGTCACTTATACAATAGCCAGTCACTTGTACAATGGCCGGTCACTTGTGCGAGGCCGGTCCCTTATACAATGGCCAGTCACTTATACAATGCAGTCACTTTACAGAGGCCAGTCACTTACAATATTGATCTTGTCATGGATGCTAGAAGAGATGTTTTCTTTTCTTCGTATTTTTGTCTCACTTTCTCTTTTTCGTATTTTTGTCTCACTTTCTCTTTTTCTCTTTGGTTATCTCTGGTGAATTGTTTTGCTTTAGAGAACATGTTGCCCAGTTAGCCACGACTCATATATCTGACTTTGACCTTTGACCTCGATGTTTGACCCCGACTTTTCACTTCTCTACCTTTGACCTTAACCTAACCTTACCTAACCCATCCATCCCAACATCTATTATATAATTTTGGGGAAGAGTAACACTAACACACACGCACACACACACACACACACACACACACACACACACACACACACACACACACAGGAGACAGTTACAGATCACAACAACAGCTCCAACAAACCTAGCTTCTGGACGAAATTTTGGTCATTAAATCTTTTGGTTGGGGTTATCAATAGACCATTCTGGGGGGTGAAGGACGAGGAGGCAGGGAGGAGGTTGTGAGGGGTAAGGAAGGGGAGGAAAGGTTTGTGAGGGTGAAGAAAGGAGAAGGTTTGTGAGGGGTGAAGAAAAGGGAGGAAAGGTTTGTGAGGGGTGAAGGGGGAGGAAAAGGTTTGTGAGGTGAAGGAAGAGGGAGGAAAGGTTTGTGAGGGTAGAGGAAGGGAGGAAGGTTTGTGAGGGTGAAGGAAGGAGGAAAGGTTGTGAGGGTGAGAAGGAAAGGGAGGAAGGTTTGTGAGGGTGAAGGAAGGGGAGGAAGAAGGTTTGTGAGGGTGAAGAGAAAGGGAGGAAGGTTTGTGAGGGTGAAGAAGGGGGGAGGAAGGTTTGTGAGGTGAAGGAAGGGGAGGAAGGTTTGTGAGGGTGAAGGAAGGGGAGAAGGTTTGTGAGGGTGAAGGAAGGGGAGGAAGGTTTGTGAGGGTGAAGGAAAGGGAGGGGAAGGGAAAGGGGGAGGAAGGTTTGTGGTGGAAGAAGGGGAGGAAGGTTTGTGAGGGTGAAGGAAGGGGAGGAAGGTTGTGAGGGTGAAGGAAGGAGGAAGGTTTGTGAGGATTGAAGGAAAGGAGGAAGGTTTGTGAGGTGAAGAAGGGAGGAAGGTTTGTGAGGGTTGAAGAAGGGGAGGAAGGTTTGTGAGGGGTGAGAAGGAGGAAGGTTTGAGGGTGAAAGAAGGAGGAAGGTTTGTGAGGTGAAGAGAAAGGAGGAAAGGTTTGTGAGGGGTGAAGGAAAGGAGGAAGGTTTGTGAGGGGGGTGAAAAGGGGAGGAAAGTTTGTGAGGGTGAAGAGGAAGGTTTGTGAGGTGAAGGAAGGGAGAAGGTTGTGAGGTGAAGGGGGAGGAAAGGTTTGTGAGGTGTGAAGGAAAAGGGAGGAAGGTTTGTGAGGGGTGAAGGAAAGGGAGGAAAGGTTTGTGAGGGGTGAAGGAAGAGGGAGGAAAGGTTGTGAGGGTGAAGAAGGAGGAAGGTTTTTAATGGTTGTATTGTCAAGTAGGAAAATGTGTTTTGTTGTTACTTGTAGTATGAGGAAGAGAGACCATAAGTATAAGTTGGAATACTAACGGTGGTGGGCGAGATTACCATGGCAGGGTCGAGGGCGTGGTTTAATCACCATGTAGGCAGGGTGGGCGTGGTTTACTGACTACTGTATGTCATAAGAACATAGGAATGGAGGAAACTGCAGCGGGCCTATTGGTTCATATTGGGCAGTCCCGTTTACACCCAACCCCTATTGCTCATATATCCATCTAACCTATGTTTGGGGCTATCATGCTAGTGGGCGTGGTTTACTCACCATGTCAGGGTCGTGGGCGGGGAGGGCGGCCAGGAGGGTGCCAGGGCGGCGTCCTCCCTCTAGTAACGTGGGGTGTGGGCGGTGGAACCTGGGCGGGTTGTCGTTGATGTCCTCAGACGGACGGAGACCCAGGCGGCGTCCAGGTGGCGAGGTCCTTCCAGCCCCGCGACCCTGGGGGAGATAATGAGAGAGAGATAATACGAGTGTCAAAATAGGAGAGACATAATACGAGTGTCAAAATGAGAGAGAGAGACATAATACGAGTGTCAAAATGAGAGAAAGAGAGTTAATACGAGTGTCAAAATGAGAGAGAGAGAGAGACATAATACGAGTGTCAAAATGAGAGAGAGAGAGAGAGAGAGTCACACAAAACAAGAAAGAATTATTACTACCACTACTGTCTTATAATGACACGGTACACACGGTACACACGCATCACACACACTGTTCCTCACACACACCTGACTTGATTAACATGACTTAACCAATCTACCTGTTTTTTATTGTTGTTGTTTTACCTGGTCTCCATATATGACAGAGTTGTATAAGTGATTTAAAGTCTGGGACAAACTCAATATTCATCAAAGGTTCTGCTGTAATTTAATGAAGACCTCTGTGTGTGTGTGTGTGTGTGGGTGTGTGTGTGTGTGTGGTTATGCTTCTATCGGCTTTTATGCCTATATCAAGTAAACATGTCATAGCGTCGTAGAATGGTTTGTACAGGAATCCACACACACACACACACACACACACACACACACACACACTTACCCTATCAGTGACCTGGACCATAAACTTGAAGCCTCTCCTGTGGGTCTCGTTCTCGTAGTCTAGAGTCATCGTGGCGTGACCCACCACTCCTACAGAGCGCATCCCGAAGTGTTCCCACCCCACCGCTCGCCTCCACCACCTGTGACGCGCGGAGGAGAAAAAAAGCACAAATTCTCAGGTTTTTCTATAGAGAGTAAATTGTGGTTTGTAAAATAGAGGAAATTTATTGTTTGATAATGTTGCGTTTGGTGAATAGTTAATTTGTTTTTCTGATGTGGTAATTATAGGAGGTTAAGACGTACTTAATATTTATAATCTCTTGATGTTTGTGAAGGGATCTTATGTTGAGGTTGATAGACTGTTATGGAGGATACAACACAACAAAGTAACACTGCTGTAATAGAAACACAAATACAGAATATACCATCTTTAACCAAACACACACACACACACACACACACACACACACACACACACACACGCGATAATGAAATACAATCAGTGTGTTTAAAATACTTTATCACGGAAAAATACAGCCAATATAAGAGTATGTAAGTAAAAGGACTAATTACAGGTAGAGAATTTATTAAGGATACACGGTAACACAGGGAGAGAGAGTTTCTTATCATAACCACTTCATACTACAGTACACCTCCTCCTCTCATCTCCCTCACTGATACACTCCTCCTCCTCATCTCCCCACTAATACCTCCTCCTCTCATCTCCCCTCTGCAGTACACCTCCTCCTCTCATCTCCCCTCTACAGTACCTCCTCCTCTCATCTCCTTCTCTACAGTACCTCCTCCTCTCATCTCCCTCTCTACACTACCTCCCTCCTCTCTCTCCCTTCTCTACAGTACTCCTCCTCATCCTCCTCTCTACAGTACCTCCTCCTCTCATCTCCCTCTCTACAGTACCTCCTCCTCTCATCTCTCTCTCTACAGTACACTCTCTCCTCTCTCTCCCTCTCTACAGTACCTCCTCTTTTCTCCCCTCACTACAGTACTCCTCCCTCTCATCTCTCTCTCTACAGTACCTCTCTCCCTCATCTCTCTCTCTACAGTACCTCCTCCTCTCATCTCCCCTCTACAGTACCTCCTCCTCTCATCTCCCCTCTCTACAGTACCTCCTCTCTCATCTCCCTCTCTACAGTACCTCCTCCTCTCCATCTCTCTCTACAGTGCCTCCTCCTCTCATCTCCCTCTCTACAGTACCTCCTCCTCTCATCTCCCTCTCTACAGTACCTCCTCCTCTCATCTCCCCTCACTACAGTGCCTCCCTCCTCTCCTCTCCCCTCTCTACAGTACCTCCTCCTCTCATCTCCCTCTCTACAGTACCTCCTCCTCTCATCTCCCTCTCTAGTACCTCCTCCTCTCATCTCCCTCTCTACTACCTCCTCCTCTCATCTCCCTCTCTACAGTACCTCCTCCTCTCTCTCCTCTCTACAGTACCTCCTCCTCTCATCTCCCTCCTACAATGCCTCCTCCTCTCATCTCCCCTCTCTGATACCTCCTCCTCTCACTTCCCTCTCCACCCTCCGAGGACTGTCACCAACACTTCACTTATCAACACACTCCATCACCCCTCCTCTCATCTCCCCTCACTACAGTACCTCCTCCCTCTCATCTCCCTCTCTACAGTGCCACTCCTCCTCTCATCTCCCCTCCTACAAGTACCTCCTCCTCTCATCTCCTCTCTACAGTACCTCCTCCCCTCATCTCCCCCCACTACAGTACACTCCTCCTCTCATCTCCCTCTCTACAGTACCTCCTCCCTCACTTCCTTCTCCACCCTCCGAGGACTGTCACCAACACTTCTTTATCAACACCTCCATCACCCCTCCTCTCATCTCCCCTCACTACAGTACCTCCTCCTCTCCATCTCCCTCTCTACAGTACCTCCTCTCATCTCCCCTCACCACTGTACCTCCTCCTCTCATCTCCCTCTCTACAGTACACTCCTCCTCTCATCTCCCTCACTACAGTACACTCCTCCTCTCACTTCCCTCTCCACCCTCCGAGGAATGTCACCAACACTTCCTTATCAACACACTCCATCACCCCTCCTCTCATCTATTAACGCCTCTTCCTTATTCTAATATCACCTGCTCCCCTTAAGTCGGATTAACCTTCTCGATGCCCCCTCTTCAAATGGCCCCTTTCCTCCCCTGCTTCATCTATCCCCTTCTCCTCTTCCCCTCTTCTCTTCTTCAAATGGCTCCCTCCTCCTTCTCCCTCCTCCTCAATAATCTTATCGATACTTCCTCTAGCTCCCTTTACCATCCTTTCCTTTCATCCCTTCTTTCCTTCCTTCCTTCATTCCTTCCCTACATCCCTCCTTCCCTCCCTCTCTGCCTCCCTTCATCCCCTCCTCACTCCCATCAATACTTCAGTGCACTTAGCCAGGAGTGACCAAGGAAAGAATGGGAAAGGCTCTTCCTGTTTGATAGTGGTATATTTTGCAGTCCCCTCAGATCAAAGGCAATTTCGTGCGGCGTCTGTATATGTGTGTGTGTGTGTGTGTGTGTGTGTGTGTGTGTGTGTGTGTGTGTGTGTGTGTGTGTGTGTGTGTGTGTGTGTGTGTGTGTGGTCCTGTTGACTGTGCAAATTGGAGAGACCAGATGAGGACCTCTTACTTTTGCGGTGTTTTTTGTTGTTGTTGTTGTTGTTTTTATTTGTGATGTTAATAAGAGTAAAACATTTTGTTAAGTTCTTCCCAGAGTCTATAGTGTGTGTGTGTGTGTGTGTGTGTGTGTGTGTGTGTGTGTGTGTGTGTGTGTGTGTGTGTCTTAAATTTACGCTGGGGTCTTATGTTGTGTCTCAGCTTTGTTCTTTGAGTCTATGTAAAATTATTGTGTTTGAGTTGATTTATTTGATCTCTCTCTCTCTCTCTCTCTCTCTCTCTTCACACGCTATTAATTAGACCTAACAGCAGTTTTCAGTAATATAACTACCCCTTCAGTTAACTACACAACCACACCACACGTTGACCGAGTTTCACGAGATCTCCATAAACAAGTAAATTATCTGATAAACAGGTAGAGGAGGTAAACAAGGAGGAGTAACAGGAGTTAAACAAGGAGGTAAGGAGGTAAACAAGGAGGTAAACAAGGAGGTAAACAAGGAAACAGGTGAATTCTACATATGCTTTGTTTGTTTATGTGGGCCAAGACTGATTAGATGACCAAGGGGGAGGGTCAACTGGAGTCCTAATCCCAGCCTGATTTTAGGATTAGGATAAAGATTAGGAGCCTTTAAGATTAGAGGCCATTATCCTTTGACTACCTTATGGTACTAACCTCTCTGTCTGTTTGTCTGTCTGTCTCTCTGTCCGTCCGTCCGTCTATCTATCTATCTATCTATCTATCTATCTATCTATCTCACCCTGTAGTAGAAGTAGTTGGAGGTGTCACGGTCTGCGGCAGATATCTCCAGTATGGTAGCGTTGTCAGGGGGCCCTTCACCCCACGTCTCGTCCACCTCCAGGTCCCATAGCTGTCGTGCCAGTCGTGGTGAGTTGTCGTTCACATCTGCCAGCCGCACCACCACCGTCCCGTCCTGTCAGAGAATACAACACGACGATGGGTTAGTAAACACGACGATGGGTTAGTAAACACGATGATGGGTTAGTAAACACGACGATGGGTTAGTAAACACGACGATGGGTTAGAAACACGACGATGGGTTAAGAAACACGACGATGGGTTAGTAAACACGACGATGGGTTAAGAAACACGACGATGGGTTAAGAAACACGACGATGGGTTAGTAAACACGACGATGGTTTAGTAAACGCGACGATGGGTCAGTAAACACGACGATGGGTTAGGAAACACGACGATGGATTAATAGACACGACAGAGGTTTAATTAAACACAACGATGGGTTAAGATGCCGTTTTTATTATTATTATTTTTCGTACTGTTTTTGTTCCCTTTATTATTACCATCACAAATAATATTATGTAAAAATGTTGTATTTTCGTTGTTTTCATAAGTATTAACTTTTGTCTTTGTTTTTAATTATTGTTTCTTGTAATACATAGCCAATTGGTTTATTTACGTGGTTTAATGAGTCGTTATAAACCAAAATATTTTAAGGTATTTCATTGTCTAAAGGTTAAAACCCAAACTAACTTAACTATGGTTGAGAAATACACGAGAGAGTTGGAAGTAATGAAAAGCGAAAAAACAGAACATTTAACTGAACAAAACAAGAAGACCCGAGCAGTTGACTACTCTCAAGAGTAGGTGATAATGTGGTGGGAAGAAGAACCTGAAGTGAGGTGGAAAACAATGGAGCTCAACCTCACTGTAGGGCTACAAGTAAGAAGGAGGTTAGGTTGAGGTTAGGTTGAAGAGTTGGGTTGGGTTAGGTTCAAGGGCTATTTTAGGTTAGGTCAGGTAATACTACTACTACTATTTTTTTAGTATTTTTTATTTATTTATTTTTACTTCTACTACTACTACTACTACTACTACTACTACTGCTACTACTACTACTACTACTACTACTACTACTACTACTATTAATAACATCACCCTGAGATACACTTTACGGACAAAATCTTGAATGGTAGAGAAATACAGGAGGAAAGGTGAAGGTCATATATCACCTGTACTGTACACAGGTAGGGTAATATTCACCTGTCACTCGGAAGCTCTGACCAATAACCAGCAACTGAATAATAAAGGAGGAATGGAACCCGTCAATATGTCTGGCCTGGGTGGAGTTTATTTGTTTATTTATTTATTTTAGTTTATTATTTTTTCTTTATTTATTTTAGTTTATTATTTTTTCTTTATTTATTTTAGTTTATTATTTTTTCTTTATTTATTTTAGTTTATTATTTTTTCCTTTATTTATTGTAGTTTATTATTTTTTATTTATTTATTTTAGTTTATTATTTTTTCCTTTATTTATTGTAGTTTATTTTTGTGTTTATTTATTTATTGGTGTTTATTTATTTATTCATTTATTTATTTATTTGTTATTAGTGGAGCAGCTTCATAGATCAAACCGATTCTTGGTATAATTGGAGGTTATTATCCTCGAGGCCACCTGGACGTT